GTACAAAGGAACTTCAGACTGATCAAATCAGCTGGCAGAAAGAGGAAGCAATCTATTACTTTGTATAAATGATCCATTACTGTGACCCATGTTAAACAAAACTTCATGCAAGGGAAACGCAACTACAGGGTTACATGTGGTTGATCTGTATCAATAACAGAATGAGAATTCAAGTGCACTCTGAAATCATGGGAATGTACCGAAATAATAAGGAAGTTCGAATACATACTCTGAATGCACCATTTCCTCTCAAAACTATAAGAAGACCAAAGACTGCTTATCACAACTAATACTTAGTTGATGAGACTGGTTTTCCTCTCTTGCCTTTGGAGAACAACAGTTATTACCTGTTTGGTGAAACTTACACTTTTCTTAGATACCATAATGGGAACTTCAATGAAATTTATAGTCCAGATTTGATAGGATAAGCCACAGTAATAAAAATTTCTTTTATTCATATAGAAACCTATTGGCAAAGAAATCACCAAGGTCAAGGAAGTATAACCAATTTTATAACACAGCTGTGCAGAGAAGGTTTCCAAATCTGTGTACATGACAAAACATTTTCTTATGTTACTGGCTCATTAAAGAAAGAACTTCTAGGCTGACCAGTTCATTCTACTCTAAGGAAACATTCTCATATAGTTCACATTCTCATTTGAAATCTACCAGAGTCAACTTTGATGATGAAGCACAACCATGCGTCCTTGAACAGTGCAGCAAAGTAAATACACTTTTGTTTATTGGCTGAGCCCACCTGCTATAGTAATGGCAGGGTGCTTCTGCACTGCACACATTGAAAGCAAGAACATATGCCACACAATTTTTCCTTTTACATGATTGCCAACATTATTAAGACATGTCAGAGAACCACATAGCATTGAAAGATAAAGTTGCTAGCAATCAAGGCACAGACCTAGAAATCAGCCTAGTTTTAACTGTTTATCTCTTCTCCCCATGAGGCCGTGTTTTCCTCTTCTTACGATAAGACTACTCCGCTTATTTAATCAGATGTATGCAGTTTATGAACTGCAGATGCCATTAAATTCTAATGATCAAGCGCTTGCTGACATCTTGTATTGTAGCTTAACAACCTCGAGGATACAGGAGTAAGACAGGAATATGCCCCACAGTAGGGTAGTGCTTCTATTAACAGTGGTAGTGTCTATTTGCTACTTTCTAGGAACTAGGTTTAGGCACCTTACATACATTATCTCATTTAATGCCTGTGACAACCTTATCAAGTAAGTTCCTTCTTTCCATAGAGAAAACCGAGGTTTAGAGACAAAGATGAGGTTTCCTTATATACTTTCATACAAAATCATTTCTTAGCAATCATTATTGTCTGTGATCTAATTTCCTATGGGTGAGCCAATCACTCTCATTATTGTTAGAGGCAGGCCAATATTTAAGTGTTTCAAATCAGTCGGCTTCAGAAACTACTAACCCCATGCCCTAAGAAGTAAAGCAAGAGATCTTTCAACGACAGATTGTTTAAAAAATTATGTGACTTTTGCTTAAGATGGACGGCATTCAAGAAAAATGACCACTTTTATCATTTCCATTCATGTGAATTATACTCATGACCTTCTGGGACAGAGAATTTTCTACACTTTCTACACTTTAATTACCTATATGTAAAAAAAACCAACAAAGCCATTCCACGCATTCAATCTACATGTCGGTGTTGCTAGTTACAAGGAATGCTTGCACGTTTGCAGATAGAATTATATAGCTTATGACTGATTACACTTGAACATTTGAAACACAGGTTCAAAGTCTTCCTATAGCCCATTCTTCTCAAGCTTGTTGTCACTTCATACACTTGACATTTATTTTCTTTTGAATGCAAAGTGCTCTTCTTAGCTTAATATCTCTTGGAATTCACTTTGTTTTGAGTCTTTCAGATTCAGGATCACAAAGAACTCAGAGAAGAGCGATGCTCACAGGCCCGCTGCAGATGATTCTTCATAGGCTGCTGGGCAGCATGGCCGACTACCACAGGGCACGTCACTCCGAACTGAACAGTGTCCTCAGGCAGCCTCGGTGAATGATGACAACAGCAAATCTATCCTCATGCCTCTGCCTACAACATTCTCACAGGACTATTACTCAGAATCAGAAAGGATTTTTTTTTTCCCCTGATCAAAAAAAGTTGCTAGTTGGCAATTCCCTAAATTTGGAGATGGAGCAGTCTATGTGGCTCAGGAAGCAAAATATTAAATAAATAAATTAATTAATTAATTAACATCCCAAGTGTTCACAATGGGGTTGGGACTTTCCAAGGTTAGAAACTGCAATCTTTAAAAGCTTAAGCCAAGAATGACTGAGAAGAATCATTCATTAGGTCTACTGCTTGTTTTTTGGTTCACTCATTCATTCATTCAAGATATTCTGGTACCTACAATACACCAATGCTGTGGGGAGTGCGGGAGACTCAATGGTGGACAAGACAAAGCAGCCTCTGCTTTTAGAGAACCTAAGTCTAAGCAGAGAGACATCTAAAATAAAGCACGATAGGAAGTATGCTACGGGAAAGAAAGAGTACAACAGAACCAAAAAATGGACACCAGAAACCTGATTCATCATGACCTAGGAACGTTCGAGAAGGGCCTTGGAAAGAGAAACTGACAAATATTCATGGGGTACGTCCATGAGTAGAGTGCTGACGACAGAGCGTAGGGTTGTCTGGGGAAACCTATACACAAGACTCCTCCCGATTTAACTTTGCTAAAAACACTGTGAAACACGTACACCTCCGTTTCATGTACTGAAGTACCATTTTAATACCTGAGCTAAGATGAGGCTGAGGTATCCATCATGGGTTTTCAGACTAAGTGAGAGGGGAGCAATGGAAAGGCCCATGGCTGGAGGCCCACGCTGGGTGCGTGCCAGAGCAGCCCGCGGCGAGGGACTTCCGCCACAGACGCTGTCCCAGACAACACTCCCAGTTTCTCAGAAGTCAAAAGGAAGCCTCAAAATACGGTTTTCTTGTTACATATTAACTGGTAAAAAGTAAATCCAACAGTCAGAGCAGCTAAGGCCCCAGGAGACAGAGATTAAAACTTGGGAAAACAAGCGATTGGATTCACAGCAAAGGGTTAGGCCCAAGTAACTGAAGTTCACACAGAAACCCCATTACCAGCTTTGCTAATAGAGCAGCTACGGATCTGTCCTCCTTTCAGATCAGGAAAAAACAGAGATGCATCAAAGACATATCCTAATTTATCTTCTCCCTCCTGGGCCTCTGAACAGGGTGCTCCTCCTCCCACTGACTCCCAGACACACCAAGTTGTTGAGGGTCTACCCCCCTGGTGGTCTCCCCGGCTCGGCCCAAACCTGAGTTAGTTTCTGAGTCCTAATGCTGCAACTCACTGAACTTTTGAGAACTCAGCTTCCATGGAGCTCAGGGAGAGGCCAAGTACCCCTGGAAGGCCCTTCCTTACCTTCTCTAACAGGGTTGGCTGGCACCCCTAAGAGCCTACAAACATTTCTGCTTTTAAGAGTATTTGGCATACGAATATGATAGGTCACTAACGTATCAGTTAAAATGTTCCATGGTGCCTGAGAATGCTACATGATGGAAATGGGCACCATAGACTCTGTTACCAGCTCAAATTTCAGCCAGTCATATACATATGTGTGTGTGTGTGTAGTGTATACACACCCCTATCCTATATATGAGAGAAGACAGAGACAGAGACAGTAGAGTGTGAGGGTGGGGAGAGGGAGAACAAATAATAAAGCAAATGAGGTAAAATATTAACAATCATAAATGTGGGTAAACTGTATATGGTTTATTTTATTCTTCAAACTCTTCTGTATGTTTGAAACTGTTTCCAAATCAAATGTTAAATAACAAAGTACAGTCCATCACCGCCCTCTGTCCCCTAGCCATGGCACTTCCAATCCCCTTATCTTGCTCCAGTCTTTATCAAGGTAGTGCCCCCTGTGACCATACTAATTTCTGCATTGTATATATTTATTACTGTTTCTCCTTAGCAGACTGTGAACTCTGAGAGGGCAGAGCTTCTTTTCTGCTTTGTTCACGAGTCCCTTCCTATCACAGGTACTTGGTGACAGTGCATGACGCCTAGCGGACTGATGAATGTAGGTCTGGCTGAGGGACAGTGAGGCTTCCAAGATGACGGCCTCATCCAATACCCCCAAGCAACAACTCCTCTCCAAGCCCAGCTCAGGACTGTGGGTTTATTTATTCTGTATAGAAACCAAAGGAAAGAGCTTTCTGAGCTGGGTACACAGGCTCAGAGAAAGGCAGGGCAAAGGGCCCACAGGAAAGAGGGATTAAATGAAAGTCCGAACACTAAATGCTGAAACTCTCATGTGCAAACACCAGCCTCTCCTGCTGTTTTGCTCTGATGATGCTGCCCTTAGGCAGGAGATTGGGAGACTTTTTTGGAGAAACTGAATGGCTCTAGAGAAAAACCATACAAATAGTAACACTGAGGAATAACACACACACACACACACACACACACACACGCACACACACACAATGTCAGGATACCTGTCCAATCACCCTGTAGGGAGGACAATTAGCTGATAAGGCCCACTCCCACACAAAACCTCCTGGGATTTTCAGTGCTTCATTCTTAAATATGAATAGATAACAAAGGAATTTCAGACATTTAAGCAAACCTTCCACGGTACTAGACAGACCAACACAAACAAAACATTAAAAAAGGAAGTCAGAATCAATCGTGATAGTGCTGAAATACAACAAAATTCCAAAAATTTGTTCTCCTCAGATAGAAAGAGAAAGCGAATGAGCCGTGAAACAAAAAGAGCACTACAAAAACAGAACAAAGAACAAGAAATTATCTTAGAAATTCTTTTCATGAAGGTTGAAATAAGAAGTTTAATGATATAAATTCCAAGAAAGAGTTGGGAAAATATCCGGTATTTCTCACTGTATAGAACTAAAAAGAGGAGGAAGGGAGAAAGAGATTGATAATTAAAATAAATCAAGAGAGGGAGACGCCGCAGACCCGGGACCCGGAGCAGCTCGGAGGCGGTGAATAATAGCTCTTCAAGTCTGCAATAAAAAATGGCCTCCAATAAAACTACATTGCAAAAAATGGGAAAGAAACAGAATGGAAAGAGTAAAAAAGTAGAAGAGGCAGAGCCTGAAGAATTTGTGGTGGAAAAAGTACTGGACCGACGTGTAGTGAATGGGAAGGTGGAGTATTTCCTGAAGTGGAAGGGTTTTACAGATGCTGACAATACTTGGGAACCTGAAGAAAATCTAGATTGTCCAGAGTTAATTGAAGCGTTTCTTAACTCTCAAAAAGCTGGTAAAGAAAAAGATGGTACAAAAAGAAAATCTTTACCTGACAGTGAATCTGATGATAGTAAATCAAAGAAGAAGAGAGATGCTGCTGATAAACCAAGAGGCTTTGCCAGAGGTCTTGATCCTGAACGAATAATTGGTGCCACAGACAGCAGTGGAGAATTAATGTTTCCCATGACATGGAAAGATTCAGATGAGGCAGACTTGGTGCTGGCAAAAGAGGCAAACATGAAGTGTCCTCAAATTGTAATTGCTTTTTATGAAGAGAGACTAACTTGGCATTCTTGTCCAGAAGATGAAGCTCAATAATTGTTTGCATTGCTTTTTATATATATTTATATATATATATAAAATCTGGGTCTTTGTTTTTTGATTAGTGTGAAGAAATAACATTCTAATGAAAATCAAGTTTGATATGTTTGTTTTGAAGTAGTATTGGGGGAGTTGTTGGGGTTTTTGCATCTATAGCACTGGTTACTTTAAACAAATAAAAGCTTTCTGTAGTTGCTTCCTTTATCAGAAAAGAATATTTGAGACCATGATATATTATCCCCCTGCATTAGAGAACCTTTTCTAAATGTTGGGGGAAATCTTCATAGTCTTTACTCAGTCAGAATTTGTGTTTAACTCCTATATGCCTAAGGACCATTCTGGGTTTTTTGTTTATTTAGGGGGTTTTTTGTGTGTATACTTAAAATACATACATAAGTGGTTTTTGTTTTTAACATTCACCAAAACAAAAACAGCATTTTATAACCATGGTTAAGCCCATGTTTCCGGGATGCTACCCTTTTCAGCATTTTAAGAAATAAATCACTTAAACTGAAGTTTTTCCTGAGGCCTTAACCTTTCAAATTTTGTAATTAATTGGACAATTTAAATATAATGTAAACAATTTAAATTGGACAATTTAAAAGCAGCCATATCAGAATCCATATCCTTCTCTACAGCCATATAAACGCAAGTTTATTTGCAAGATCCCTGAAAGGAAAATTTTATCACCACCACCAACCTCCCCACCCAAATGACAAAACTAGACAAGTCCTTGTGTATTTTATTTAGGTAAGCAATACTTTAGTTAAATGGACATTTAAAGGTTCCTTCTAGTGAACCATTCCTTTTTAAGAAGTTGAAATTCTCTGTGCTATATTGACTAAAAGGTCATGATTCGTGGACTGTCTACAGCTTCCTTCATGGAAACTAATTATAATCAGATGGTTAGAGATGTTGGCAGTTTAGCACCTGCTGGAGTAAATGGGTGGACAGGCTTCTATCATCCAAATTCTTCACCTGCATGTTTTTTCTTTACCCCAGTTCATTCCTGACATGTAGGCTCAGTCTTTTCAGTATTTGAGTTACTGGTTCAGCACAAACCAGGAAAAACAGTAACTTTGTAGTCAGAATGTTATCCAACTGTATATTGTTTACTTTATTGTAAATACTGGTAAACAGTGGTCAATAAATAGTTTTATATTCCTTTATGTGATTAGACTTTTTATTAATTTGATTTTCTAGTGGGAATAGACACATACCTTAGAATCCTGTTCATGTTTATAAATAATACTAAAGCATTAGAGTACATGTCTTAGATCTTTGAGCTGAGGAGTTTCAAACTTACTAGTATATGTATTTCCACAAAAATGAAAATTGGTTTTTTGGGGTGCCTAAGAGGAATCTGCTTCATTAAAATGAAATTTTGATACTTAGAATCTAGTTTGTTGAAACTGCTGTCTGAAAAAGTTATGATAGGATAGATCCTGTTGCGAGAGACAGATTTCTACTAATCTTCAAAATTCATACAGAGAAAAGGAAATCATTTTGCCGTATATCTAAATATTTAATTATGTTGTATATCTGAAACTGATAGGTTATATGTTAAGTTATACCTCAATTAAAAAACAATTTTTTAAATCCTAAAAAAAAAAAAAATAAATCAAGAGAATCAATTCTGGATGTTTAACATGTAAAGAATGAGAAAATAAGGAGGAAAAAAATACGGGAGAAGCTTTTGGTACGTAAGGATGCCAGTTTCCAAACTAAAGAGGATAAGCAGTCGGAGGAATGTCATCATAAAATGTAATAATGGGGATGAAGTGCAGATTCTAAAACTGTCCAGGGAAGAAACAAGTCACAGAAAGAATCAAAACTCGAAGTGGCATACTTTTCAACTGCAGAGCTTGAAGACCCTGAAGTCAGGCAACCAGCTGCTGGTAACGGTGGAGGAGGAGCGTGGGGGTGGCAGACTAGCTTATTGCAAAGCAATCCCCCGGCCAAGAACAATTAGAAAAGCTGGGGAAAGGGTTTTTTTTTTTTAAAGTGCCTTTGAAAGCATCAAAGGCAGAAGAGGCCAAAAGGGCCAAAATCCTAGAGAAAAAAGAACTCAAGAGAGGTGTGTTCAAATAGCTCTTATTTACCAATTCGTGAGTAGCTAAGAGGACAAGAAGCTGGGTTTCTAGAAGTACACTATGGCTGAAGGGTCAAAATTTGGGCCTTTGGTGCCCATTCAAAAAAGGCAGCCAGGCTTTCAGTGGGAATTACTAAAGGCTTACCCCCTAGAAGTAGTGACCAGCTGGACCTAGACCAACTCTCACTGAGGTAGTGTTGATTCAGCCTGAGTCCAGATGGCATTAACGTGTGATCAGTCCTTACTGTAACTGCTAGTCAAAAGCAAAAGGAAATTCTCCATGGAGGAATACAGAAGCCTCATACTGTCTTAGCAATTTTTCAAATATAATGTCAGGAATTCAATTAAAAAAAAAAAAAAGAACCTGACTAAGCAGCGATGGTTCTTTTTTTTTCTTTTTAAAGATTTATTTATTTATTTATTCATTTGAGAGAGAGAGAACAAGCAAGCAAGCCAGTGAGCGGGGGGGAGGGCCTGAGGGAGAGAACCTCAAGCAGACTCCCCAGTGAGTACAGAACCTGACATGGGGCTTCATCTCATGACCCATGAGATCATGACCTGAGCTGAAACCAAGAGCTGGATCTCAACCCACTGAGCCACTCAGATGCCGCAGGAGTTCATTTTCTGTGTCAACTTGTCTGGACCATGGGGTGAATAGATATTTGTGAAACACTCTTCTGGGTGTTTTGAGTGAGATAAACATTTGAATCAGCTGACCTAGTCAAGCAGAGACTGCCCTCCCTGATGTTGATGGGCCTCAACCAATCAGAAAGGCTGAGTAAGAGGGAATTTCTTCTGCTGCTTTTGTTTTTCTTCTGCCTTTGGGCTCTGAGACGTCAGCTTTTCCTGGGTCTCCAGCTTGCCGCTTTGGGACTAGAACTTATACACCATCTGCCCTGCTGGGTCTCCAGTTTACGGATGACAGCTCTTAGGACTTGTCAGCCTCCAGAACTGTGTCAGCCAATTCCTTATAGCTAATCCCCTTCTATATGTACATACATAGGTACACACATCTTTTTCTCTGGAGAACTGACTCATATACAAACATACGGAGGGACAAGATGAGACAACCAGAAACAAAGAAGGAAAAAGAAAAGAAACGTAACCGCAAGAAACTTGGATATTGAAATGATCAGACACGACAGAATTTCAAGAATTGGTGACAACAAAAATAATAAAATGGGAAGTTCATAAGCAAAAATTACAAAAACTGAATTGAGGCTGCAAAAGATGGGTGTAAAAGGAGTTTACACATAGCTGAAGGGAAGATTGGTGGACTGAAAAACAGGTCGCAGAAAATACCGAGATTGAACAGGGAGAGAAAAAAAGAGTTATTGTTAAATTATACTTCAACCTAAGGGGGAGGGAAAGAAAAGCTTAAACATCTAATAGGGAAAATCAAATAAATATGCAATACCTATAATACAAGGTAGAGTATATAAGAATTATGAGAAAAAGGCTTCAAAGGAAGGATAATAAAAATGAGAAGAATCAGGGAAAGAGTTCCTGTAGGAGTTGGCATCTAAGATGGTTTCAGAAGATGGATGGACGGCATCTGTTGGGTGGCGGTTAGGAGGAGGCAGAAAGGAAGTGGGTAAGAAGAAATACTAACAGGGAGGAGGGAGTACTAGGTATGCACAGAGCAGGTGCAGAGACCATGGTCGAAGGAGACAGAGGAGGCCATCTCCCTCGGAGGACCTTGAGGAGAACTCCCCTGACACCCAGATAATCACAATCTGCCCCTGAGACTTTATGAAATCACTTCTGAATCGGCATCAGCCAACATTGATATAAGATGACGTAAGCCCTTAGAGCCTTTCTCCTCCGCAGTGGGGCTCAAGAAGCTCCTCAGCATGTCCCCAAGGGTCCTGGGCTATGAAAAAGGAAAAGGCTGTCTCCTTAACATTCAATCTAGTTTACTACAGAAGCTCCCAGAGCTCCACTGGTGTGGAGATAAATTAAAATTATTTGTTGAAATGGAGTTTCTGGACTGTCTACAGGCTTCATTTATGCATGCTCCCTCTGGTCTCTGTAGGACTGATACTGGGAAATGATTTACTGTCTGCTTCCCTAGGGACAGGTTGCCAGAAATGATGCTGGCTTCAATCTTTATCCATTCATCAATATACCTTTCTGACACCTGATAATCTGGCTTCTTCCCAGCCGAGTGCAATTAGCCTGAACGGGCTTGGATGCAAGATCTCAAAGCAACCACATTTTATTCTCGTGAAGCATCTTTCACTTAATGCCTGCTAGGGTTTTTCCACTTCCGGGAATTTTTTGTGGCCTGTGTTGAATATTGTTCACAGATTTTCTGTAAAAGCAAGAGGGGAGGGTAGAACAGCCTCAGCGTGCAGGATAACCATATTAGAGAGCCTTTTTCCTTCCTTCAGATCACATTCAACGTTCTCATCACCACACACTGATAGACCTAAAAAGAATCTTCTGGATAGAATAAACAGAAGCCACAGAAGAGCAACTTCACAGAAATGTGTTCATCTGTGTTCATACTCTTGCAAGCTATCTCTTCTATGCTCCATGCACCAAGGCTCTGTGAATCTGCTCTTCTGTGAATGCCCAGTTCATAGGCATAATGAAGTCGAAATGTAGCAAGGTATGAGCTCTATTTTTCAGAACTGTATTCATCTAACTGTAAGGGCCTTCACAAAGATAACACTCGCTCATATCCAGAGCCTCTTAGAATCCTAGCCACCATGAACCTCATGGTCTGATGATGGCTCTACTGTTCTACAAAAGAACCAGCTTCATTCTAGCAGTATGATGATGCTAATCCCAGCCTTTGTGTGTGTGTGTGTTTTTTAATCAATTTTGTTTTTTTAATCACATTCAAGTAACAGTCATGAAGAGACCATCAAAAGACATACCTATCATGGGCACTTGGGTGGCTCAGTGGGTTAAGCCTCTGCCTTAGGCTCAGGTCATGATCTCAGGGTCCTGGCATCGAGCCCCACTTCAGGCTCTCTGCTCAGCGGAGAGCCTGCTTCCCCCTCTCTCCCTGCCTGCCTCTCTGCCGACTTGTGGTATCTCTCTCTCAAATAAATAAATAAAATCTTAAAAAAAAAAAAGACATACCTATCAATAATCCCAATCATT